GCGCTACCTTAGGCTTCTCCATCACTTGCCTTTTTTGGCAGATCCATACTTGCTTACAAAGTAGCTGAAGAAATCCTCTGTGGAGTCATTCATCCTGGGAAGAAGAAATGAAACAAAGCTAATGAATGCGGAGAGGTCCAGAACCAGAACAAGGTCTACAGAAGTTTATGAAGCAGCCACACCGAGAAACACTTGCATCTGCAATTTTGGGGCTCACTCACTATTTTGAAGCAAGGGTCAGAGTCCATTTTGGGACAGGAGGCATCGTGATACGTAAACCGATTCCGCCAAGTTCCTCAACTGACCCATGGACACACAATGTAGGGGAAAACGGCACACGGAGATTCTGCCCAAACCTTTCCCATGGCTGGAAGGCAGGAAGGAATGACCATTTACCAAGTCCTGACCTTCCACCACCACCAGTACCAGCCTTTCAAGTCATGAAGAGGGGCAGGTGGGTGGCTAGATGGTGTTCGAATACTGTACAGCTTTAAAAACACCATGGCTGTTCTTCTGTGCTGTCACGTCAGAACCTATAGTGAGCCTGGCAGAGTTTTCAAGGTAAGTGAGACATTTAAGGAGTGTTTCTTTCCACTTTCGCCACCCCAGTGAGTTTTCATGGCACAACTGTGGAATCGAGACAGGGTCCTAGTCCATTACTCTACCCCTACATATACCATAGCCACAAAAAAACTCTGTCTGTCAATTGCTCTGTTTGTTTGTTTACTGCTCATCATTTAGTTTTCCTTTCCCCCCTTTTTTAGATAGGGTTCCATAGCCTTATCAGTTTACTTAATTTCCACTATTTGGGGGGTATTATTTTCTGTACTGGGGCTTTTTCTTGGTGTTCAATTGGGATGGGCTAAATGTGATGTGAAGGGAGAATGGAAAGAACTGGGTTGTCATTATTATTCAATTGTTTTACCATTCCCCTTTGCATTAGGAGTAATTAGGCTTTGTCCAAACTATCTCAAAGACCGTATATCCTGTTATGAGCCGGCTTGGGTCTAAAGATCATCAGGAGAGGCCTTTCTCTTGGTCCTGCCATCTTCACAGGTGCATCTAATGAACACACAGTAGAGGGCCTTCTCTGTTGCTGCACCTAGACTTTGGAACTCTCTCCCACAGGAGGACAGAGTGGCCTCATCTTTGCTAGCCTTCTGCAAGCAGGCAAAGACCTTTCCTCAGTAACCAGCTACTGTATGTGATTTTTGGATTGTTGGTGTTTAGTCGTTTAGTCGTGTCCGACTCTTCGTGACCCCATGGACCAGAGCACGCCAGGGCCTCCTGTATTCCACTGCCTCCTGGAGTTGGGTCAAATTCATGTTGGTTGCTTCGATGACCCTGTCCGACCATCTCATCCTCTGTCGTCCCTTTCTCCTCTTACCTTCACACTTTCCCTTGATTTTTGGATAGATTGTTGTATATCATTGGTTTGACCGGATTTTTAGTACTACTATTTATGTAGTACTAAACATTTTTGTGTTTTCATTTCTCAGAGTGACTTGTTTTTCTATACTTATTGATCTTTGCCTTCATATTGCCTGTTAACATTGTAAAACACCTCCCTAGCTCTGATGGTGTGATTTCTGAGATAGGCAACTGCTTATGGTACTGTGTGAAATTTCTTCTTCTTCGATTCATAAATAACACCATCAGAACTACAAAAGACAGCAATATTAGAAATAGCATATATATTGCATAGATATTTAACAGATACTTAGGTTTTTGGTTACTACTTGTATCTGTTATATAATACCAGTCAATGTTTTTATAATTTTGATTGACTGTGCTTGGTGTTTTTGAACTACAACTGTGGGGAAATTGTATGCTTTTACAATGTATATAGCAGACATTGTGCTTGGGCCCAGGTCAGTTTCCAGTAAGGATGATTCATTAACCTGCTTTGGTATCTAGGATAATTTCCTGTCTGGGTAAATTGTATCAACTTACTTGTGTATTTAAAGTGTTATCTGTCTATGTTTACCCTGCTCTGTATTCAGGAATGTTTACCCTGCTTGTGTATTTAGGATTTACGTGCCTCTGTTTACCGGCCCCTCTGTTTACCCTACTTGTGTATTCAGGATATTAACCTGCCTGTGTTTAAAATGGTTTTTGATTAACCAGTACAAAAGTAGCAGAGAACAATAAAAGGGGGATGCGGCGACGGATAAGGAGAGTTTTTCCACTGAACAGCATGCTGTTTTTGTTCATCCGGATCCCGCCCTGAAACACACACTCAAGTGCTGGCCTCTTCCTTTCTCCTTGCTGGTCAAGAGGGGGGAAAGGCTTCATCTGCAGATCCCTACAACTAGGCTTCATCTGCAGATCCCTAAAGGCTTCATCTGCAGATCCCGACAATAGGTTTCTTCTGCAGATCCCTACAACAAGGCTTCATCTGCAGATCCCGACATACAACAACAACAACAACAACAACAACAACAATGTGCCGGCAAGCGAATTCTGACATGGTGACCCTTTCCCTGGGTTTTCCAGGTAAAGAATACTGAGTAGTGACTTCCCATTTCCTTCTTCTTCTGGGGGGTGCCCTGGGACTGCACAGATTGCCCAAGGCCACATAATGGGAACTTTAAAAATACATATAGTACCAACTGATCATTCAAGATAAAAGAAATGCAGGAAGGATAAGAGGTTCGGGGGCTACAAACCTTTTGGAACTGGCTTGGGTAGAACACTCCCTGTTTCTTTAAAAGCTGCTACACCCCAAGTCAGAATAGCTATTACGATGCCCAACTTCCACCCAGAGGGCGAGAAGAAGAATGATGGAACTAGCACACTAGGTTCAGGTCAGACGCAAGTGGAATAAATGTTAGCCAAGCCTAAAAACAAAACTGGAGCCTTTTTCAGAAAACCCAGGAAAAAAACCAAAGGCCCTGCTAAAATTGTCCCCAGTGCCTTCCTTTTGTTTACAAAACCTAAATGATGGAAAAGACATACAGTATAGCTGTTAGTTCTTGCATATGTAAATATGCCAGTAGGAATATTTCCAGAAAATAAAGCTTCCAGTGTACTTGACTAAACAGTTCCAACCACAGCGAATGGATTTTTAAAAAATGCCTGATCTAATTTTGACTGTTGGGATAACTGAACAGATATTTAAATAGCTACATAAAGCTAAGACAGAACATTTCCAAACATTTTTGTTCACTGACGGTAAGTCAAGGAACCAAATCAGATGTCAAGCCATTTGAAACAACTGGAAGTGCTTCCAATTCAATTTTTTTTCAAGAGAATCTGTTGCTCCAAAAAGTAACATAGGGAATTCCAATACATACCTTTTGCTTTGTGTCCTTGGTGTACAACATGTTCCTGATTTGGGAGTCTTCATTCTAGACAAAACAAAGCCAGACAAGGAAACATAAGTTTTTTTTCCCCCCTGAAAGGAATTCTCTTGGTCTTTATTGCAGAAGTGGCAATTACTTTTAAAAAAAGTCAACCTTTGAACCTGCTAAAACTCCCCAGCAAGTGAAGGAAGCCAAATTCAAGCATAAAACTGCTCAGAGGAGAACAAGATAAAAGGTCAGGTTCTGCCCCAAACAGGAACTCTAAACACAGAAGCAGCACGGCAGTCGGTCCTGCTCGTCTCTGGATGTTTAGTCCCCAAAGGTGCTGCTGGCAGATCGGGGGCTGCCCTTGGCCGCTGGGGATCTGCTTTCTCCTCCCCACTTTTCCATCTCTGTCTGAAACCCGAGACAGTCATCCAGAAATGCAGTTGAGTCCCTCCAACAAGCAAGTGGGAACACGGATTGACCTCTCCTTCTCTCGTACAGGCAAAGCAACCAAGCCCAGAAACAGGGCCTGATCCGGGGAATGCCTGAAGGAAGCCAAATAAATGGAGATGCCTGATGAAATGGAGACACCCCCCTGTTGCAAGGGGGTTGCACATCCTGTAATCATCACCATCCTCTTAGAATTGCGGGGGGGGGGAGAAGGGACCCTATAGGTCATCGAGGCACGATGGGGGACTGAACCCCCAACCTCTGGCTCTGCAGCCGAATACGGCAGCCAAGGAGCTCTCCAGCCGTTCCAGATCAGTCCTGCAACTTGGGTACTCTTAGGAACCGTGGACCTCAGAGCTCCTTGTATACTTACTAAAGATGAATGAGAAACATGTGAAGCACTCCTTGAGCTCCTGGCCATGCTGGGCATGGAGTCCAGCCCTCCGCAGAGGGCAGCTGGCGTTTGGCTCTCACTCCCTTCAGCCGGTTTGGCCAAAGGGCAGCAGGCAGAATCCAGCCAGGTCTGGAGAGCCACAGACAGTCCCATCCCAACCACAAGGCACCTGCTTCTCTGAGGTTTGGAGATTCCCCCCCCCCCAACACCAAGGCACGAGCATCCTCAAGAAACTGAAAGGCAGACCAACCCCAAATTTTTGTTAGAACTCACCTCACATCACAACAAGATAGTCACAAGCTCAAGGTACAGTGGTGCCACGCATGACGATTGCTCCGCATAACGACAAATAACGCTTTACGCTGAGGTTTTTGGAGCGATCTTGCGCTTCGTTTAACAATGTTTCCTATGGGGGATTTTCACTTTATGATGTTAGGGACTTGCCTTGCAAGACGGTTAAAGTTTAGGTCCCTGTTTTTCCCTTTACGATGTTTTTGACAGCTTGGTCTTGCTTCGCTATACGAGTCTTTTAATGGTCTCTGTTTCGTTAGACGTCTGTCTTCGCTTGGGAACCGCTTTTCGCTTAACGATGTTTCCTATGGCAATTTTCGCTTTACGATGGCAATCCGTTCCCACTGGAATGGATTATCAGGTTTTCAATGCATTTCAATGGGAAAACGTGTTTCGCAAGACGATGTTTTCGCTTAACAGCGATTTTCGCGGAACGAATTAACATCGTCTTGCGAGACACCACTGTAGTTGCAGCAAAGGTGGCTGAAAGCGGTGTAGCATGAGGTTATACTTGGGAGCCAGGACAGCTGCTGGTACAGGAAGCACAAGCGCAGTTGGGAAACCATAGACGACGGGGGAGAGGCGCACACACACAGAGCCAGCTGAGGGATGAAGGTCAAGGACAGGGCATAGATGCATGAGGTGTGGAGCTTTGTAAGGTAGAGATCACATGAGGGTTGAACACAAGACATATAGGTTGCAAAGGATCACATTATCTCATAGCTCAGGAGCTCCAGCACCACATGGCAAACTGAGAATGGCCAACAAGAGCTGCAGACCTATCCTGTTGAGCTTCTACTGGGATGGGGTGCAGCACACCACATTCTCCTTTAACCTTGCCCCACATGGTGATTCATGACATTGCAATGTCAGATTGTTTAGGAACTTGGAGGGAGGACCATCAACACAGAGAGAATGAGGAGGAACACAGAGACAGAGAATGTGGACAGCGGGAAGAAAATGTGGAAGGGTCCATAACTGGGCATCAGAGGAAATCCAGAAAGTTTGTGTTTACTGGATGAAGTCAAGCAGAGGTGTTGTAGATGAAACATTTCCTGATCAGATAGTTTAAACAGCCTACTAGAGAAAGCTGTTTTTGTTGTAGCTGCTTTTCAGTAGATGAAGATGATGATGATGATCTTGAAACTGAAGAGTAGGAAGTGACCCTATGGATTATCAAGTCCAACTCATGTCACGTTTTATTTATCCAGTCCTGCACATGCTCACTTGTTACTTTGGAACTTTCCACTTGCAGCTATAAATGAGTGAACTGTTTCATTATTCAGTGAGACTCACTATACACATATACTGTATGTGTCAGTGATTCTCCTGCTTTTGAAAGCAATCGTTTATTGTTATATTACTAAGATTCATTTCATGTTCTGTTTTGCGGCCCCAGCCAGCAAACCTGGGTAGTCTTCCCAAATAAGGATATCTAACTTATGCTCCCTTTCAGAGCTCTCCAAATGTTGTTGGACTGCAATTTCACCAGCCCTGGCTAATTCTGAGGGACGAAGAGTAGTAATAGCTCAGGATCTTGACAGCCAAACCTTATGCCCCACACCTGAGCTGGAAGCAAAGTCAATTCATCCACCTTCCTCAAAAACTGGCTGAATTTCTGGAGGTACAACTTGTACCATGTAAGACTGATGACAAAAGCAGCTGTAGTAGGGTGTTGGGTTGTTATTGTTTTTGGAAACTAAACATTTCCTCCTTCTCTCCCAAAACCCCCAACTCTTTACAGGAGACGTCATGGAGGCAGGAGATCTCAATATCTAGCTCCTTGTCCCTCAGGTCAAAAAGACAGATTAAGCCAAGGTGGATGGTAATAGGTGGTATGAAGAAGAGCAGACAGACAGACAGACAGTGAGAACACATGGAGCTTCTCTCCTCCCCCAAAGTTAAGGGTTACTTACACTGTTCAAATTCACCATCACTGCCCGAAGATGCAGAGCTGAAAACACAAACAGAACAGGACAGCTAATCAGGGAAGTGGCCAGAATCAGAATTTATAAAACTCGTAAGTAAAATGGAGCCCTTTTTTCAAAAAACCCAAGAGCTAAAGGCATCTGCATGCATTGAATAGAACAGCTTCTGTCTGGTGAAGAAAACACCAAAATGCAAACTGCAGATGGTCCTGGTCTCATGTGGGAGGTCAAGCCTGAGTCTGTGTGGATGTAGGGCCCAGAAAAACAACAAAAACACCAGAATGAACATAAACACAGTCATGGAATATACAGTTTTCTTATACGCAGCACATGCTGCTTGTGGATGTGGGAGGCAGAGCCAAGTGTGGAACGGGACCAGGTGGAATGACAGACGCCCATTCAGACCAGGTCGTGGGCGTCGACCGTGACAATAGCCTTATTCACAGGGGTTGTGAGCCCTGAAAGGGCTGGCGATGTTCATCTGTGTGAAGCAGGAAGATGCAAATCACGTCCTTTGAGGACCTGAGTTGTCAAGAAGAGCAGGTTGTGCTCAGTTCAGGGTTTTGCTAAAAATAAATGCTTGAATATTAGAGAAAAATAATAATTAAAACCTCTTACCTTGTTATGGGAGAGTAGCACACAATTGGCATAACATCTGGAGGGCAAATTTCTTCCATTTAAGAAGTCACTCCAGACATTACCAGCTGCTTACCGAGTTGTAGAACTGAGTGTACAAGGGGTAAGGCCTATGGCGATTTCTTAACTTAGGGCAACCAGCTTCCAAAAGTTACACCACTTGAGTAGCTGTGCGACAGGCCTTTGACCACAAGGTCCTTAGAAAGTCCAGATCTCTGCTTAATCCTCCAGGTGACCCCTAGGATATATCCATGGCCAGGATTTTAATGTCAGCAATGCTCTGAATGTTCAGAACCTGCTATTAATAATGATGATATGGCTCCTTGGAAGCTCATTGCCACGTGTTAAAGTGCTGTTTAATCATTCCACATCCCCACATTTAGTCCTACCCCACAAGCCCCACATTCTGTCAAAAAGTGCTTTGGCACAGTTCCGTTGAGCACACAGACTTCCCCAAGCCAAGCTTTTTGTTCCTTCGTTTTAGGGTGAGCCTTGGAGGACACAGCCCTCTTCTTCTTCTTCAGTTATACTGCCCCTTGACGACTGCCAAGCGTCCTCTGTGGGCCCAAGCTTTCACGGGCGTGGGGGTGCGCATGTTCACACAATAGGCGCCAGACAAACTGCTACCTGGCAGAGGGTAACAAGATTCGGGCAGCTCAAAAGGGTGGGAATGGCCTTCCCGGCCAAGCTTAAGATGCAGGTTTAAACCTTCAGCACTTTCCACAGCATGGGCCCAGGCTAGCCAAGGAATCACCTTACTTATGAACCTGGCAGGCCGTTAAGACATTCGGGAGAATCTATCCTGAAAATACCCCTGACTGCAGAGGGCCACTCCAGGCGGACACAGAGGAGAGCTTTCCCTCAAGTGGCGAACAGACTGCGGGACTCTCTCTCCCCTTAGAGCCACCATCACTTGCCGCTCTCAGCACTTTTAGGAAGAATGTGAACTCCTTAAACTTACACTTCAAATGGCTTTTACTAATTACTATGATTAATTCTTTAGATTGTTGTGATTTTCATGGTTTTATTGTTTGATCAGCTTCTCACCTGTTTATAGTTTTAAAATAAAAAGAATCCTGTCTTAATTTCTCTTAGACTCTTTGAATGCAATTTTTAGTGGAAAAGCAGGGTATGAATATAATAAAATGCATCGAACAATGTTCTATTCAAGAAGCAAATGCAGCAGTGTTAAAAAAAACAGTAAAGATGGAGAACATCTGGAACCATTGCCATCGCAGGGAGGAAGCTTTAGATCGGGTTGTAAGGAGCCCATTTAAGACCTACTCACCATTCAGGGCTTCTTCGCAGCACGCACTCCGGGACATTCTGCATGGCCATGAGGTCTGACAGAGAAAAGGATGCAAGTCAGTGCCCTCAGCTGGGTGTCCGTCTAGCTTAGCCTCTCTTCAGACTGGAAGGGGTTGCTCAGCATCGCAGGCAAGCCCCTTTCCAAGCTCAGCAGCAGCTGCCTGTGGAGTCCTTCTCCACCCAGCTACCCAATGAGCTGGACCACAGCAATGCACCCCATGTGAGAGAGTCCTTCAAGTCAGTTTGGAAATGACAGCTGGTACAAGACACAGAGGTTAGGATGCCTTGTAGGAAGTTCTACCGCACAGGATCCCACCATGGTGGAAATAACTGACTGACTACCAAAATAAGTCCCAGCTCTGTTGTTGACTTAAGAAGCCCTGGACAGTTTAGGTTAGAGTTCCCTGAGCAAATAACTGGGGTTATTTGAACCGATCCTTCTAGTCATGCCTCTCACAGAGCCTGGTAGGAAATATGTACCGTACATCATTTGGTGACTTAGGTAACAGCCTCTACAGTGGAGACTAGCTGTGGAATGATGCGTACTTAAGAGCTACGAGAACTACTGTACTCAAATGCCAGGATTCTGCCAAAGTAAAAACGTATCTGTTCATACAAATGCTGATTTTAGCACTTGTTTTCCTCAATCCTTATTTGTTAGATTTCATTGCATTTGAATTATTTTGCAAACTACCTTGTTATAGCTTATATTAAATAATCAACAATTAATAATCACTGACATTAATAGTAGTTTTAATTCCAATCATAATACTGTACAGCCTTTTGACTGGGGTGGCAAAGACTATATAAAAAAAGTGTGCTGCTTATATGGCAGCTTGACCACCAATGTCATTCCTCCTAAGAGCCAACAGAGTCTGAGGAATAATTTCTGAGGTGGTGGGTGTCCAAAAAACTGGATCAGCCTTTGATTACTTAACTACAATTAGCAGGTTTGCAGCAGGGACTGGTCCGCACTGGCGTACTCTTTCCTAGTTCAGTCCAACTGGTCTACATATGGGGGGGAAATAACTTAATGGGCTTACTCACAAGTAATCCGTTCTTTTCCCCTCTCCCTCTGGGAAATCAAAGAGCAGCGTCAGGAGGGTTGACTCAGGATGAAAAGGTAAAAGGTGGGTGGGAGAAGGTCACTGGGGCTCTGAATGTCCTTCCTTTGGGGAGAGTGTTTGTTCTAAACCGAGGGCTTCTTCCCGCTTCCTTTTGGGAATTTCCCTCCTCTGTGAAAGGCGGCCGAGAGATTCGCATCAACGGCCCTAATTGAGAGAGAGAGAGAGAGAGAGAGAGAGAGAG